CCCCATAGACCAGATGAGGGCCACTATGAGGGGAAGCCCACAGGATCAGGGTGGTATGGGCACGGGGGTGGGATGATGGCGCTAGAGAAAGAAATGACTGGTTTCCCAGAGGAGATGCGTCTTTCTGCATCATGGGAATTGTTGCAATGAGAGATCCCCAGGGCCAGGAATTGTAGCAAGAGATCCCCAGGGCCCGAGTGGTGAGAGCATGCAAGGAATCCCCGAAAGCATTCCCTGACAGATCAGGTTTAAACACTTGGCGCCCAGCCTAGAGAGCGCCTGTGCCCTCTAGTGACACCTGAGGTGGAAGGGGAGGGGTGAGGCAGCTTCCTTGTGCCACCTAGGCTAGGAACAGGCTAGCCTGCCACAGGCAGGGCTGGGACGGGGAGAAGCTGGAACCTTGGATGAAAACTTCTTATGGTTATACTAAACTGGGTCTCTTAATTTCTAAACTCAGATCATTTTTATAACTTGAAAATGACTAGTGTCCTAGTCTTGCCTAAATAAGAGTTCAGGGACATTACTGTCGCCACAGAATAACTTTAAAGCACAGTGGTAGGACAAAATGTTGCATTATGGCACCATCCCACAGATTCTGCTTGTTCAGGGTAATGGTTACAATTGTTTTTCTAATGAGAAAATATAAATGAAAATGAATTTTTATGAGACTGTGTCCATTGAGGCATTTTGTCATGAATAAAGTGTCATCAACTTTGGGACCAGACAGATCTGTGCTTGAGTCAGATCAACCCCTTATTAGCACCGATGTGGACAAGTAAAGTCATTTTTGAGGTTGATTTTCCTCATTTACTGTTTATAAATAGGGTAACACCTATTTTGTGGTGGTTAAGAAAAGTTATGGTCCATCGTAAAATGTGTGATACACAGTAGGTAGTCACAAATATTAATAACCCTCTTCCCTCCTTATAGCAAGTGTTTCCTATAGTTTTAAATATGTTCTGACTCTCCTTAACATGTGTTTTGCTTCCTCTAAATGTATTCCTTAAAAATACGGAATGATTAATGGATTCAGTATGACTACAGGGTACTATCAAGGATGTAAGCAATGGTAGTTTTAGTGTAGCTAAAGATTTCACCTTTGATTTGAAATGTGAAGGATTTTCAGAAGTAATGAAAAGTAGTTTTACTGCTGTGTCGGTGTTTAGTGAGGAAGCATATGAATTAGAGGCCTAAAGAAAAGGTAGGCCCCAGAGGAGACCTTTTCATCGCTGTTCCTGCAGCAGTGTGGACTATCTCAAACAAAAGGAAGGCACCATTGCAGAGAGAACGCATTGTAAGCACGGTTTTTTAGTTTTTTATTTAACGGATACATTTCATTTGTTTATTTATCCACCACAATGTGTTGATTGGGATGGTTCCCCACTCATCTTGATTCGAGGTGCCTTTAGTGCTTCCTTCTGAAGGCACATCCTTCTGTAAGCCTTGCTTTTCCTCCTGCTGGCGGACAGAACAGTGGAGCAACTAACACACAAAACTGCCATTTGTGCGCTGCTAAAGAGGGCGGTGGTTTGAGAGCATCCTGGGCATTTCGCATCTGTGATGCAGGAATTAGGGCTCTGCTTTTTGTGTTTTCCTCGCTGGCGGGCGGGCGGGCGCTGCAGTGTCCTGGCCAGGCCTAGGCAGTCAGGATGGAGCAGTGTGAGAGAGGCAGTGCCCCTGCTCCGCAGCCTGGCATTTCCATAATGTTCACATAAGCTCTGAGGGGATTTTTATTTTTAGTAAAGGAAACTGGTGCTTAGATAACGTTCTTTAAATAAGTGGAAATCTCCATTTTACAAATAACAAAACAGAAGCTCAGAGAACTTAGAAAGTGGAAACTCAACCCAGGTCTCTCTCATTCCAGAAACAATGTCAGGTTTTCCATGTATATTTACTGTTTTGCTTTCTCTTACAAATTACCAAAGTAATCTTTTCCTCTCTTGGTGTGATTTTATCTACATTTACATGAACTATTGAAACATTTTGGATTTTCTGTATTTACAATTTTAATGATTGGTCTTGTCTTTTCTTTTAAAATTTCATATAATGCTTCAGATAATTCCTCTAAAGATCAGTAAGATAGTATTTTCTATATTTTGCAATTTAGTTTTGAGAAATTAAATTCTAATCTATCTAGTATCTATAGGCTGAGAAGGTTTCATCTCAGTTTTCCATGGGATTATTTCAGTACCATTTATTTACATTAAATAACATTTTCTTTCTTCATTGCCCTGTGATGATTACTTTATACATTCCTCACGTGGAATAGTCTCTGTGAACCTCTAGCTCCTTTTCCTGCTTGTGCAAATCCTGTTTATTTTTCAAAACCTATGTCAGCTACCAGGGCTTCATGAAGTCTTTTCCTAGTACCTGACCTCCGAGCTCTGCCCCTCGCTGAACCCTCTCAGCTGCCATGGCGCTTAGGCCACACTACTTCTTTTTTACCTTGAACATGTTAATTGCCACAGTAAGGCTACATGCTTTAGAGAGCGCGCTCTTTTCATCACTGCATCTCCTAGGCACCTACTTTGTTATTATGTACATAATAGACTTTCCGGTAAATATTTGGTGGTTATACTTTTTTTACGCTTATACACAGTTGGACCTAATCTGATTTCTCTTTTCTCTTCCCCTGACACTATATATATATCAATTCCACACAATTTTAATTATTGGTGAGTAGGACTGATCCTTCTCATTTGCTCTTCTGTGTTGTTTTTTTTCCAAAAATTTTCATAGACTTGTATGTTTCTTTTCCTCAAATGGATATAGAATAACCTTTTGAAGGTCTAAAATTAAAACCCAGAGACTGTACTTGTTGGAATTATATAATAATGCACTTTTATGATGTTGTCTGATCTGGAAACATGGTCAATAGGCTCTTTAATTCAAGTGCTTTATTCTGTTTCTAAGATGGTTTTTGAGATTGCTTTGCATATGTCAAGAACTTAAACAAATTGAATTGAATTCGATTTTATCATACACCAAAGAAGGAACGGTCTGTGTTGCATAACCAGCTGGATCTCTATACCATCATTTGAAACACTGCAGAGCTGTCCATGTGTGACAGAATGCTCTGAAGTCATAACTGTTACGTTTTATGTTTTGCTGGAGATAGAAAATTTTTAACACTTATTTGAAGAACCTCTGGGCTTGTGAATTTTATTTTTAGATGCCTGGGTTATCTAATTTACATATTATCTAATAACCACTGTTTATGCCCTGACATTTGATTAAGAAGGATGAAAACAATTATAGTGTCTTATTATTTCTTGATTTATTAAGAATTAGACAGGATAAATTGGGTTTTTCCTCTACGGTTTTATGCAAGCAGCACCGGTTTTTCCCCCTGTGGTTTATGAAAGTATGAAGGTGGCCAGCCAAGCCACTTGTTTTGTTTATTTCTGGGTGGCTGCAGTCAGCCTTAGGGAAGGAAGTTTTCCTTTGGCAGAAAAAGCAAAAAGTGTTTATTCATTCCATTTGTAGTAACGTTGATCCAAGAGGAGCTTTTGAGGAAAACCAGAGTGGTTAGGTCTTGAACATAAACAGCTCCGATTCATCTCCTAACTAGTAGAGAAAAGTGAAAAATTAGGATGATTAAATATAATTTATAGACAATGCAAAGTTCTAGAGCAGAAGTTCTAAACTGATGATGGTTCATTAACCAAATATAGCCCTCTGACACTTTCTTTTGGCTTCCTGAGTGTTTAGAAAATTTACTTAATTAGTTAATAACATTTAAAATTTTTTTACAAGTATATGCAACAGCAGGGCATGTTAGTAGCAGGCCCCCTCCCCCCCCTAGATTAAGCATACATGTTTGTTTGCCTTAGTTGGCACTTGCAACCTGATTCCTGCCGACCCCATATGTGTTTCACTTTGCAGTCTGTTCTAGAGTAATAGGTCTAATGCTGCTAATGCAGCTGACCTTCAACTTTGAGTTAATAGGAGATAGACTAGGAGGCGTGAAGATTCCAGGTACTGGGGGTTTGAGTGGAATATGGGATGTGTGAGAAAGAGAAGTTGTAGATGAATCCAAAGATTTTACCTGAGCAAATGGAAGGAGAGAGGTCCATCAGCTGAGATGGGGAGACTGCAGCCATAGGTTTGAGAGGGGAAAATGAGTTCAGCTTTGGACAGGTTAAGTTTGAGGTATCCATTAGAAATCTTAGTGGATGTACTGAGCAGGCAGTGGTATGAGAGTATGGTGTTGGAGAAATGTTGAGACGGAATAAATACATTTGAGATATATGATACGTAAATCCATGGGATGAAGTGAGATCACGGAGAGGGGAGGACCTGGACTGAGCTGGGGCATGTCAGCATTTGGGGAGTTTGAGAGAAGAATTCTGCAGAGATTTGCCTCTGGCAAATAATAGGTTATTGTCATGGAATATAATCTTCACACCTGTAATAAACCTGACATTTTACTAGTGCATTGAAACGGAAGGAACTTAAACTGTGATAGAATATAGAAATACTAGAGGTCCGATGCACGAAATTCGTGCAAGGGGGCTCGGCCCTCGCAGCCCTGGCTTTGTCTGGAAGGTCGTTCTGCTGTTCAGTCTAATTAGCATATTAGCTCTTTATTATATAGGATGCCTCTTTTAATAATTTTAAGCCCCTGTTACAAGAATAAAAAAGAATTACTGATTTTTCCCTTGTTATCTTGTTTCATAGACTATAATGAGAATAGTGTACTTTTCTTAGTACACTTATTAGTCTTTGAGTGTCTTGAGGGTGACAACTATAGTGTTTTATCAACTATTGGTGTTTTCCAGAGTGTAATATTTTGCCTTACTCTTAGTAGGTCCTCTGTAAATAGTTGCTGAGTTAATCCAAGGAGACACACACACACACACACACACACACACACACACAGCATATACTTGTAATATGTAGTTGCATTCATGAATTTTATTGTTAGTTTTAATAAAATAAAGTTGTTTTAAAGTATAGTAATGTTTTAGACTTTCTTCCTTTTTTCTTTCTTTAAACAGGTAGAGGGACGAGGGCAGAATCACCAGCACTGGCTGAAGGTAAATATGTCTTTGGGGGAAATGATTATTCAAATGCATCAAACATCATGATTTAAATTAAAAACTGCTTTAGCTAAACGTAATATAAGGAAATGTTCTATACATATATTATATTGCTAAAAAATGTCTTTAGGAAATAACACCCTGTAGTGTTTAGTTTCTGGCTTAGTCTAGGAAGTAGTGGGGAAATGTAAATTTAATTAGACCTTTTTTTTTTTTTTACAGCTTTTCATAGTAAAGGTATGTGTTTTGTTTTGCAAATTCCCTTTTAAGTCATTTCAGCTATCACCAATATGGTTGATCAGAAAAGGTCTAAGCCATAATTCTAGTATGTTTATTTACTAATTTATGTATTTATTTGGAAGAAGGGAGAACACTTTTACATATTTCTTAATGGGAATTCTACCAATTATTGGTTTTGGTCCTTTTTAAAATGGGTCCTGAGTACTCAAACATTTATAGTCCTGTAATTGATTTAATTCTAACAAGTCAATGGGTATTTGAAAGTGTAATTTTTCTACAGACTCTTTGCGTTCAAGTGAAAATGACCAGCTTAAATCTCTTCTGGTGCTCCTCCTAGTCATAGGTAGAGATACTTCCTTTCAGAGGGTACCTGGCCTTTTCTTAGGCCCCTGTGACAGTTCTGTAATGGTCCTGTGGGACTGGAGCCCTCACCTGCGCCCTGGCCCGCAGTGCAGGAGCTCTCACGGTTTCTGGAACCATGACCTCTGTGGTCATCAGTGAACTCTGAATCCCTTCTCAGAATAGTGATTCTGACAGTTATTTTATGAAGTAAAATACATATGATTAAAAAAGGAACCAGATAATATTGAAATAGTTAACAAATATTAAAAATACAAAATTTTGATAGATCTATGCTTCTGACAGAAAATAAGCTTAGGGGACAATTCTGCTAAATACTGTAATTTTAAATAGTGATGAGTTTGCAGTTGTAATTGTAATGTAATTTGAAATTACCTCTGATTTCTGTGGATGACAAGTTCAGAGGTATTTCTAATACTCTGGTTTGTTGCCTAGAATCTTGCTTGAAGGATTGCTAACTTCCACCTAGAGCAGCGGTTCTCAACCTGTGGGTCGAGACCCCTTTGGGGGTCGAACGACCCTTTCACAGGGGTCGCCTAAGACCATCGGAAAACACATATATAATTACATATTGTTTTTGTGATTAATCACTATGCTTTAATTATGTTCAATTTGTAACAATGAAAATACATCCTGCATATCAGATATTTATGATTCATAACAGTAGCAAAATTACAGTTATGAAGTAGCAACGAAAATAATTTTATGGTTGGGGGTCACCACAACATGAGGAACTGTATTAAAGGGTTGCAGCATTAGGAAAGTTGAGAACCACTGACCTAGAGGTTAGTGAGAGTTTCCCATCCAGATTCACAGGCACTGAATTCTCCTCCTGGACCCCAGATTAAGGACTCCTGTTAGTGAAAATCAGCCAGACAAATTCTTTGTCGTATTTGATAAGTGCAGTTTTCTGTGTTCTGTATCACTAATCTTAAAGAAGTAGTACTACACATCCATACATTAAGAAATATCCTGATGGTGTGGGCTAGAAGTTTTTGAAATAGCTTTGAAGAAACTTCTGTTTGCTGGTTAATAATCACAGAAACAGCATTCTGTGGAAAATGGTGTAGATGATGTCTTAAGCCTTGGAGTCTGCCTGCCTCTGAAGAACACACATTCTAGTTTCAGGAACATGAACTACACATCCTATACTAATAAAAGACAAACATGCAAATTGACCATACTTTCGCTATGCCTTAAGCCACGCCCACCAGCCAGTCAGAGCGACTATATGCAAATTAACCCAACCAAGATGGCAGCCGGCAGCCACGGAGCTGGAGTGAGCAGGAGGCTTGCTTGCTCCGGTGATGGCCAAGGTTCCCTGCCTGCCGCGGCCTGGCTCTGAGTTCCACTGAAAGCAACAAAGTTTCAATTATAGAAGGTAAACAAACCCCAGATACCTGCTTTCAGCCAGCCGTGACCATGGAGCTGGAGCGAGCAGGAGTGGGTTGCCCCTGGTGATGGAGGAAGCCAAGCTTTCCATAGGCCACCGCTAAAGGCAACAAAGTTTCAATTATATAAGGTAAATAAATCCCAGAATAAAAAAGAAAAAAAGGAGAGGCTGGGAGCTTACGTTGCCAGGGTGCTTGGCCAGCCTGAAAACGGCTCTCAGCCCCTCACCCAGACTGGCCAGGCACCCCAGTGGGGACCCCCCACTCTAAAGGGGGTGTGGCCAGCCTGAAAACAGCCATCAGCTCCTCATCCAGGCTGGCCAAACCTCCATGGGGGGAGGGTCTCCACTGGGGTGGACATCCTCCGAGGGGTCCCACACTGCAAGAGGGCATAGGCCAGGTTGAGGGGACCCCCCTCCCCCCCCCAGTGCACAAATTTTTGTGCACCGGGCCTCTAGTGTTAACATAAAATAGTTCAAGATGCCAACAGTTAACCAGAGAAACGCCATCATTTGTTGCCATGGGAGGATGCAGATGCTAAGTGCTCTGATGCTTATGTTGTGGAAATGTTGGCAAGCACCAGAAGGTTATACCAGTGGAGTCAGACTGGATCTTGATTCCATAATCTCAGTACTTGAGTTATGGCCAAGAAAGAATTCAGAGCCCAGACTCAAACTATAAGAGAAAGTTTATTTAGAAAGTCACAGAAGTAGAAGTGAGCCTAGTAGAAATGGGCCCAGGGAACAAGTAACAAAGGCACAAGAAGGGCCTTGGAGTTTAGGAGAGAGAAAGGTAAATTACGGTGATGCACCTGGGGGAAGAGAAAGGGGAGAGGGAGAGTGGCTTTTCCCTAAGGCCCTAGGGCTCTTAAGGGTGGGGGTTTTAGGGGAGGTCCCAGGGAAGGATCTCAGTAGAATATTCATCAGCTTCCCAGATGGCAGGACTTTCAGGTCTTGGTCTCCACTGATTGGTCTGCTCCAGGGCAGGGGTTCATTAGTCCATGCATCTGGTCCTGATGTCAGCCATTGTGGGGCTTGTCAGGTGTTGCTGCTTCTCTGGGCCTGGAGCTGAAACACAATTGAGGCCTAGATGTATTTGATGTGGGTCAGAACCTCATGTCCTGGGAGCTTAGTGCTGAAGAGCTATTCTGTGACCCCTTTTATGGTTCCCCCATGACTAGCAAATTGCCAGGGGAGGAAAGGTCAGGGGAGGATCCAAACCTCATGACCAGCTATGATATGAAAGGTCAGGGGTCTGAACTGCATGACCAGCGATATGCTAGGGGAGGAAAGGTTACGCTGGGGCCAAGGTCCTTGTTTTCCCAGTTTTGCCTATTGCTAGGCACCCTGAGCGTTCCACCCTGGTGGCCTTCTGAACCTGGTCCATGGTCCTTGCTCTGCTCATGTCTGTCTAATTGCCTATCACAGAAACACACACATCAAGGTCAAGACTTGTAAAACATCATCAGTGTTTTTCAGTTACATCTGCAGTAAGAACTCTACAGTGACGATGTGCCAGCCTAAGTTAGGAAGAGCCCAGAGTGGTGTCACTAAATTTGAATGTGTTCACCACCTTGTAGCTGACTACCAATAAAGGGAATGGCAGATCTATTGAAATTTGGTTGATAGCACTAATCTTTGTTTTGAAGGGAACATTGTGGGTTTTGGTTCTATCAGTGTGATCCAACCCTGATGCCATATTTTAAAGATATTCTCAAAAGCTGCATTGCCAAGGTCAATGGATTAAGCCCTACTTTCAAAAAACTAATTTGCTGCTTTCACCCAAGTCACCAAGTTTTTCTAGTCCTCAGTTTCTTTCTTTTATAGAGAATTGAGCTACATGGTTTCAAGTCACTTCATGAACCCTATATTTTGGGCTCGAATTTTGTATCCTTTCTCATTCCCTTCACTTCCTTCCTCGTACTTCAAACACGTGGTGAAAATATTCACAGTCGTTAAGTGAATTGAACTTTGGTTTAAATAAATATTGTCCTTGTGTGGAGCTTTCAAAGCTATATTATTAGATAACATTTAGTTCAGAAAACTTTGTCATATGTGCATTCTGTATTTCTTTTAATGGTTTGAAAAATCCATTTAAAATTAATAAGCTCCACTATAGGAAAACATTGGAATACCTCCTATTTTTTGTTAATCTTAGTTTTTTTGCGGGTGGATTGGTGGTAAATCGGTGCTTACAGTGCTATTTAGTGAAAGGTATCAGCCTTGTCCTTTGAAAATAGTCATGGAGTATGCTTTTTAAATTTATACAGAGAATCTGTCCCCACTGTCCAACTGAAGTAAAATAGTATTTTTAAAAATGGTAAAATGAAAACATTCAGTTATAATTACATCTTTTCTGCAATATCAAAATGTAATGACCTGTGTTAGAGTCTTTTAAGCATAATACAAGATACTGATTTATAAATGTAGTTATTCAAGTACATATCTTAAAAACTATATGATTACCAAGAAGAGAAAATTTATTTTGCTTTTGTGATCTGTTTGATTATGATGAGCCTGGAGGAGTTATATTTAAGGCAATGATTTTAATTGCAGTTCAGGAGCAAGGGAAACATGTGGCGGTGACCTCCTGTGATGTCACTGTATGAATTCCTTTAGTGTGCCAGGCTCAAACAAAGACCTGGAAGGGAAACCTTTAAGGACATTTCGTAGTACTCTCTGTCATCTTTTCCTAGTCATCATTTTTTTTTCTTAAAATTTTAATCTCTCAGAATTTTATTTCTACTTTAGAAATTTTAATACTGGTGTTGAATTAACTTCTGTTAGGAACAATTGAAATATTATAAAACTTTTTGGATGAGTTATGTGTATTTTCATTTATGACTAGGAAGCAGTATGGCAAAATGGTTAAGAGAATTGTTGGGACCCAGATTTGCTGGAGTGAATTTGAAGCAAGATGTTTAATCCTTCTGACCTTCAGGTTGCTCAGATGTAAAATGAGGATTGTAATGCTAACCAACCTCATAAAATGGTTGAGGATTTTACCAGGTAATCCTGTGCATATACTATTTAGCATAGTATGTGGCACACAGTAAGATCTCATTCATTGACTTTTACTTTCGTTTAGTGCTTACAGCATCCAAGGCCCTCTGCCAGATGCTTTGGTTACAAAGGTGTAATTATAGTCCAGCTCCAGGAAAGCTGGTTCTATGCCCTTAGTTCCTTTAGTCTCTGTTTAAGAAGGTCCTTATAGTGAGTATTTCCTAAATAACTCCTCCTAAACGTT